TCATGATTAGGGTTGCAGAATAATCATTTTCACTATTTGCCACAATCACCCATTGTTTCCTTTTTCAAGAAAATTATAATAAACACATATACAAATTCAGAATACGAATTTCATTATATATATGTGTATGTATCAGTGTGTATAACAATGGAATAAGAAAAATATCTTAATATAAATATAAAATTTTATTTAAAAGCCGCCCTCCCTCTCAGTCTTTAGTAGCTATTTTCAATTAAATTTTGTATAATATTTCAAGTGCATTAAGAATATTTTGTATAAATTTGTATATTCATGTATATATTATAATAGGTATATTACATTATACAAATTAAATGAAGGGGTCGAAATTAAAATCAAATTGAATATAATAGTATAGTGTCAGAGTATAACACTATATATACAATTAAAAGAATAGTACAATAACAGGAATATATAGTCTTCTCTTATATTATTATTAAAGCGTATTTAACTGACGAAGTCATCTAGAAAATTAAATGAAAATAATTAAATCTCAATCAGAATCCATTTAGATTAACTTTTTAACCGTTGTCAGAATCTCTTACACAATTTCATAGTCCCACATTTTTGTGTTACATATTTCTGGTTATACATAATATACGTTTATAGAAATTATATTCAATATAAATTTTAAGATATTTTGTGAAATTAAAGAAGAGGGGAGAATGACTTGAAAAATATATACTAAAAATGTGTTAATAGACTCTGGGGTTTTCTTTACAATATTTCTTGAAATATACAAGGTAAAATATAATACAAGTAAGTAAGAGGGAATTAAAAATTGTCTATTATTGCTAAATAGAATTAAATGAAAAATGAAATTTTGCGTTTATTTTAATAAAAAATATTGAAGTATTTTTAAAGTGATCATTAACTACTCTTAGCATTGGATAAATAAATATTGTATGTAATGTGTATGGGTTTGTGAAATGTGCTAAATATTTTGGTGTTTAACTGCTATTTAAGTTAAAATTAAATTAGAAAGAAAATAGCAAAATAATTAATTTACTTAATTAATTAATTGTATACAGAAGGTCTTCTCTTATATTACTTTATTCTCTATGATTTATTCAATATGAAACCACAGCCTTCAATATATAATTTTCTATATAACTCATGTAAATATACAGAATACTCGCTAAACAATTGTGCTTCCGAAGCAGGATAATAGAATGCATCCAGATAACCAGAAAACATTTGGTAACATTTTGATTTTCGAACAAATACCTCTCGAATTATGAGATCTCAAAGTTGCAGTTTCTGAAAACTGTCCATTTTTTAAATTTTTATTGATAATTCGGGAAAATATTGCAGGCAAAGCCAACTCTTTGTAGTATTTTGAAGCTTATAAAATTACAATAAATTTTGCTAGCGTAAATATTGAATCTTGATTACTTTGTTTAAACCATTACGATATATTTTGTGTAACAGAATTAAAGAGCTATCAAAAACCAAAGAGAAAGCGACAATTAATGGCACTACGTAAGAAATAGAATTAAAATTCAATTATTTTTCAAAATGAAAGCATGATTATTATTCTTAACATTATTAATTGTCGCATTCAATTTATGAAATTTTTTCTTTTAATTACTCTGTTTTAAATTTTTATAGAAACGATAAGAATAATATCGTCGTACAAGAATTTCATTTTAATCATTCTAATTTTATTCAATCTCTTATAGCATTATTGAATATTTTTTATCTCTATATTTTCCTTATATAATATGCAGAATACGTTCTTGAATTACATATAAGGTTCGTTCTAGAGCGTGATTTAAAATTCATAATTTAAAAATATCAAAAGAAAATTGCAAACTAACCTTATTATTGAATTATAAAGCGATAAAACGCGATCAACTATAAAAAAAAAACTACAAAAAAAATGCAACTATAGTGGAAAATTAAATATGAAAAATGAAATATTTTTATTCCTTTTAAAAAAATTGACATTCCATCGATGTCTATGATATTTTATGAAAAGATAGGGAGGGGGGAGGTAGGAAAGATAGAAGGGCAATTATTATAGTTCCATTTTAAATTCTGTTTTGTTTTTTGTTGGCTACTTCTTCTTTCTCTGGTAACTTGTCCTTGATATCGTTTAAATTTTAATTGATTTTACACTACTTCTAAAGAATTTTAATTTTATAAATGAAAATTTTCATTATATTTTAAGGCAGCAATAAAATCTTGATTTAGTGACTTCTTACACTCTCCATATTATAGTGCCCACTTATAATTATGACAATACTAAGGTTATATATAAGATAATTTTGATCTACACCGAATAAATTTTGTATACTACTGAATTTGCTTTTGTGAAACAACAACAAAGAAAAACAAGGACGGAATGCGTTAACAAAAGGTGCTAACGTTCATACCTTATTATTTTATCTGTAAAAATTCACTAACTTTTGAGATAGTCAAAAAAAGTCTTGGTATATTTTTAAGCTTTGAAATATTTAAATTGCGTAGGCCTTTTCAGTCACACACATTCTGCCCTATAGTGTTAGTTTCAGGGCACATACAAATTAGATGATAATGAAATCAAAGAACAACGTCCCTATTTACATAGCCAACAGAATACTAAAAAATCTCCTTATATAAGCTCAACTGTCTGAGTAGTTTTTAAGAATATTATAAGAACATCTTAACAAAAGCGTCAAATTAAACCTAAACTAGAATACGATATTAGTCGAATTTGCTAATTCCGAAAAACAGGAGTACAATTAGGAATCAGGACGGCTGTAGTATACTATACATAATATTTGATTCCTATGATTCCACTAAAATATTACACCCAAATTGAGGAACTCATCACATACTAAGTATATTGAGTTCTGTACATACCGTATATATTATATAAATATTATGTATAGATCAATCACATTCATTCAATATTATTATTATAACAATAACAACCAGCAAACAAAAAAAAATTTCATTGAATAAAAATTTTTTTTTAATTTTGCTGAATGAAAATTTTATACGTTGAACAAATTTATAAAGTATTCATATACATATAGCCAAGTACAGCTCATCAGACTCAAATGAAATCCAAGAACTTACACATTATATTCTGCATTTATGTATAATATAACATATATAGTGCATAAATCTTGAGGCACCTAGAATGAATGATGTATCTAGACATTCATAGCATAGAATATATAGACTTACAATAACATTATTATTATTGAACTATTTTATTATATTTTATGCAAGATCATCAGTACAGAATGTATAATTTCTAAAATATATATTTTTTATTGAATTTAGTATAAGTAAAAGAAAACGAGAAAAAAAATAGAGTTGACCTTGTCAACTTTGTGATAACCGTACGATTTTGCTATCCTATGTGCAAATGAAGATGCCTATGACTTTAAGTTGCCGTATTACCATATTAATTTATGTAAAATTTCAGTACTGTGTGTTTTTCAAAATACTGTGTGTGCCAAGCTACTATTTAAGTTGTATGGCAGCTACCCGAACCGGTACCCCGATCATGTCCAATTTAAATAGGGTTCTGGCACTTACTACAGTAAATCATTTGTGAAAATTTGGTGAACTTAGTTCAATTAGTTTTTGAGTTATCGTTGGGACGGACGGGCAGACAAATCTAAATCAACTCAGAATTTGACGCTGCTCAAAAACATACACTTGAGTCTACATCTAAGACCGTTATTTCTTAGCGTTACAAGCGGTAAGGCAAATTTAGTATACCCTTCGAACATACGTTCGCACGGGTATAATAAGTATGGGGCATGTTAAAATAAAAACCATGATATGAATAGTGATTTTTCTTTAATATATTAATGATGGCTCTATGCTACGTATACATATATGTTACATATTAACGATAAAATAAATAAACAGACAAATCAATTTGATTCTGAAAATTCTATATAAAATAATAACTTGGTATTGAGTTCATTCAAAAGGAATACGCGAAGTGATACTCGATAGTTTCCAAATACTAAAGTATAAAAATTGAACTAAACGAAGAAAATGAAAAAAAAAGTGTATATTTTATGTACGATAATAAATTTTCATGGAGTATGAAAAAAAAAAAAAAAGTTAGTGACCAACTGAAAAGTCATTAAATATTGTTGAATCCTGTAGAGTTTTATTGTTTTTAGATCAAGTATTATAAATCAGGTTTCATCAGTATAAGTTTTTTTCTTGTGTCCTTTTGTTGTTGTTGCATTCATGGTCTTGTAATAAGAATTTAAAAATTTTTTTTTTAGATTTTTAATTCTTTTTAAGTTTTGCCCTCTTTTTAACACGATGTTCCCGTTTATACTGTATGTATATAAGAAGAATCATTTCTAAAAATACATTTACTTACTTATATATAAGTAATTTATTTACACATTGTAAAATTTTAACTTTTATTTTTTTCTATTCTTATTATTATTTAATTTAAATGATCCTTGCATATGGAGAAGAGAATAATAATTTTATTAAGTAACAGGTTTCATGCAGTTTCATCATCACTATTATCTTTATTTTCAAATTATTTTATTCATTGCTAATTTAGACAGAACCAGATTTACAATATCAAGACTCTTAGGATATAGAAATCTTTGGAATAAAAAAAAAATTCGTATTGTTTCAAATGCTAACTGAGTTTTCTCATTTATAACACTATTTGTCTTATATAATTTTCGTGAGAAACGAAACAGCGCACCTATATTAAAAAAATTCAAGATTAGGCTAACAGATTTTCTAAATGATAATTTGACGAGGTTATTTTGTATAGGAAAACCAAATCAGTAATACTCTATAAACTGGTATAGTACACATTTCTTTATAGAACTTAGGATTAATTCAGCATTAAGTACAGTTTCCAGTATTTTAACAAATTTTTTATTAAAATTTTATAAAATTATAATTATTCTAAATTTACTTACCTAGGTCGCTATTACCAAAGACTTAAAAAAGCATGATTTCATATTCAATTAAATTATTAAATATAGAAAAAATTTTAAAAACATTTCTTTATCCCAACAATTTTTTTAACATTTTTAATGAAATGTTCTTTGTAACAACAGTAAAGCATTTTTTCTTTTGATATTATTATTTTTAATCCTATTAAATCTTTTAGCGGGAGTTGGTTTTACATTTAACTTTTCTCCAACTTAAAAGTTCTTTTAAATTTTATACAGGTGAGACGAATCCATTTGTCAACTGCTGACTTAAAAAGAGAAAATGATTTTGGAATTTAAATATTTAAAAAAAAAAAAAATAGATTCAAAAATTGTGTGTCAAATCGACGAAACATCGTGATCTAGGTGCCAAAATTGAGCCAAAAAAAATTCAAAAATTAATTACACTTTTATACACACAAAATGGTAAAAAGATTCTTGTGTAAATTTCAGTAATCTTTTTATTTAAAAAGTTTGATTTGCTGCAATTTCAAGTTCTTAAATATTAAAAATAATTTTATAATAAAATTTATTGTTATAAATTTAATCGAAGTTCTGAAATTAGAATTGTGTGCTATAGAATTTCTTAAAAAAAAAAAAAAAATAATTTTTTTGTGCATAAATTTTGTTATAAAGAAAAAAAAAAGTGAGTTACCAAAATATTTTTTTTTTTGAAGAATATCAAAATATTTTATTGAAACAGCCAGCGACATCAGAATTCCAGCTACAAAACACGTATATTTCAAATTTGGAACATTTTGGCACATAGAACACATCAGTTTTTTCAATAGACAGCCAATTTTGTTTAAGTGTTTTTTTTTTTTAATTTTTTTTTTTTTGGTTTAACAACGTGTAATTTACAAAGAAATTAAATGTACCTTTTGAAAAATGGTTTAAAAGCCGCTGTTGCATCAACATTTGTTCCACCATCAATCAATTGTTGTGTATAATCTTTAGTTGGTGAATGATCTTGAAGTCTAGTAAAATTACTAACATAACTGCTATTACTATTCGGTGATGAATCACTACTATAACCGCTGCTTAAATTGTTATTTGAACTGCTACTATTATTATTGTTGTTATTATTATTATTGCTATTATTATTATTATTATTACTAACATGATTATTATTATTATTGTAAGTACCGGTCGTAGGGGTTGCCGAACCTTGTATGAGATTCGCTGCTACGCTCGGCAATTTCATATTCGGTGGAGTTTGCGGTGGGGTATCTGTCTGTACTTCGGGAAACCCCATCGATTGTTGTTGCTGATTGTTGTTCGTATGATTTCCGTTCGTATTCGTAGAACCCACTGTTTGCTGCTGTTGCATAACCGTAGTAGGGGTGGTAGGTGTATTTGGGTGTTGTTGTGTACCTTGCTGGCTCATACCTTGTTGATTCATATTGTTGTTGTTGTTGTTGCTGTTGTGATTGTTGCTGTTGTTCATAGCTTGATGATACATTTGTCCCGCTGCTATTGCTGCTGCTTGCCCTAGAAACCCCGCGTACTGTCTGTTGGTATATTGATGTGAATTTACGAAATTGCTCATCATATTCATTTGGGATTGTTGCTGTTGATGGTGTTGTTGTTGCTGATTCTGCTGTTGATTCTGTTGAGTTTGAGATTGTTGCTGCTGTTGCTGGGAATTGTTGGTGTTGTTGTGGGCTTGGTGATGCTGTTGCTGCTGCTGTTGATTTATACCAACCATATTCCCCATAACCATCCCCATACCGGCAACGTTGTTTCCACCATTCGGATGTGTATTGAGCAGCTGCTGATTGGGGTGCTGTTGCTGTTGATTGGAATGGTGGTGGTGTGATTGCTGATGATTGGGTTGCTGTTGCTGGTGATGCTGTTGCTGCTGATGATGTTGCTGATAATTTCCCATCCATAGACCGCCGGCTGTCAAATGTGTGTTGTGCTGGGTTTGTTGTTGTAATTGAAGCTGATTGTGTTGGGGGTGCTGTTGGTGTTGTTGGTGCTGTTGTTGCTGCTGATGATGTTGCTGAAGTTGATGTTGAAATGATTGATGGTGAATCATATATCCCGATGGTGGTGGTGTTTTGCAAGCGGCTGTGTCTGCCAGACTCCAAATTTTCGGTTTTGTAGCTGGAATCGGGATCCCACAGTCGCTGCTTGTCTGGTTTTTTGGACCCGATAATTCTTCTTTAATATTTGGATAACCACTAGCACCTAAAAGTGACGGATGATGTTGATAATGATGTGAATATGCCGGATGATGGCCATATGCTGGATGTTGAGGATGATGATGATGATGATGATGGCTTAAATTACCACCAACATGACCACCAATACCACCCATCATATTATTTAAATTATCTGGTTTTCTATCATCGTCAAGATCATCATCATCATCGTCTTTATCATGTTCTGATTTAACGTGATGCATTGGATCTAGAACACAAAGTTTAATTAAATTTTTTTTTGTTTTTCAGTATAAATAGAAGAGAAATTAGAAGAGAAGAAGTTTAAAACAAAAAACAAATGAAAGAGTAAAAAAAAAAAATTATAAAAATCTATATTTTAAAATAAATTCAAGTTAAATAATTTTTATTTCATATATTCAAAATAAATAAAACTTTTCAATTACAGCAAATCGAACTTTCATTTTTAAAAATATTTAAAATTATAAAATAAAATTAAAATAATCTATATTAATAAGAAGGTTTCAATTTTGAATTTTTTTAATATTTCACAGTAGAACATAAAATTTTATAAATATAAACTCCTGAAAGTATGCAATTTTTAAGAAAAAATTAAATTTTTATGTTATGTTACAATTTTCAATATAAAAAGAGAATACGAGTTGTAGTTGATATAAGTAATAAAAAAAAATGAGTTTTGAGAATTATAGATAGCGACAGTTTCTAGTTGTAGCCATTTATACTCTCAAATTAATATAATATAAGGAAAATTCATTTAATTTTTATTTCGTAATGTTCAAACAACAATGATTCAATTAGCAGTTATAAAATTTTAATTGAATTCTAAAAGAAACTTAAAACTTTCAACAGGATCTTATTATTTTTGCAATCACAATTACGAGTAGTTACAGTAAGACTTGTATTACTAAAAAATTCACAACATTATTACAAATTATTCAAATCAATACACTAATGTGTATTTTTCACACAAATTATTGTATTTTATGCGTTTGTCTTTGCAGTACATGTTGCGTAATAAGAGTATTGATGATAATTTGATAATTAAGAGTATGTAGAAATACTGAGTCAGTACGTTCGCAATTAAACCCGTCCGATGAGACTCATTTTAAATGTATATAATAATATAATGTTGACAATAATGCGATGGAAAAATCAATGTTATGGAAATAATATTAGCATAAATTTATCTTTATATGTATAAATGAAGCTCCATATAATCGCTTATAAGTATAAATGAAGACTAAATTGCATTTACAAAAATTTAAGTGAACGCATATAGTTATGCAATTGTTTACAAAATCACATATTCAAAGCTCAATCTTCATTTTGTTCAATTCTATATGCAATATTAATATGTTATTGTGCAAGTATATTTCTTAAAAGTCTATAACTCGTTAAGTTCCTCCAGAGATTTAATGCAGAAATATGCGTTTATTCATCCTTCTTTTTAAAAGAATTTTATTCATACTCTCTCTTTATTTTACATTTTTTTTTTTTAACATTACATTACTTTCCTGTTCGTATGACAGTATCCTATTTTAGGAAATAAGAACAACAACAAAATAAAGGAGAATATAAATTCACATAATACTGAAAATTTTTTGGAAAATATGTTGTTAGACACAACAGCTGCTCAATGTTTGAATATAGTCTCACAATATATTTCTACATATTACAATTAGACTCCTTCCAAGTATATAGTCGATAACAATAGAAAATTTCTCTTTCAAAATAATACAAGTTCTTGTAACTGTCTCTAGAGTTTTTTTTTGTTCTCATCTTTTCCTATTTATACCTACATGCTATTCTCTTCTGCAATTTTTTGAGAAACAAAAAAAATTTAACATTGATATTGATAATGTCGGCTCGCATTAATACCAAATATAATGATTGTGGTGATGATGATGATCACGATGATGTTGATAAGAATAATGATGACAATGACAATAATAATGATGGTACCCAAAATATTTTGTTGAAAGACTGTAAGTTTTTTTTTTGTTATTTGCCGCTAAGGGCATAATATTATATAAGTATGAACGAAGATACGAGCATATCTAAGTAATAATCAAATTGCTTGTATACATACATAAATACATACATAATATTCTATTCCTCTATAACATATAGAATATTATTAGAGTGTAACCATAGTTTTAAATATAGTAAAATGAATGTTCATGTCCGCTAAGGTATTAAAAGGATTATAAATAAGTGATGATATTTTTTGATGGGTGGGTTACACTTTACACATAGACTATGATATACTTACATCGAAACAATCAGATGAACAATATTATTAAAAGTATAAACTATACAAATACAATTTCTTTACATATTACTTTATATAGGTGCTGTAGGAAAGCATAGACGTACATATTATTATGTAGATTATATTTTAAGAAGAAGGAGTTGAACAATACAATAACCAACAAAACAACATACTGTTTCGTGTCAGAAAAAGAAAAAAAAAAAGAACAGAATAATTATAAAAAGAAAGAGAAAAAGAGAATATTGTATACAACAAGGACAACAAAATGGGGATTTTCTACAGATTGTTTTACATTAAAGCTCTTGTTGTACATGATTGAAGTTATGATTGTTATATAATACGGCTGTTGTTGCTGTTGTTGTTATTATTATTGTGTTATTAAACTTTGATTTGTAGTATGAGAGTATTTATTATGAAATATCCTTTAAGTACTCATTTGATTATTTTATAATGTGTGTGTGTGAAATGATTTTTTAATGATTTTTATATACGGTCGGTTGCATTCTGATGTCCGTATATGTATGATAAAAGTATACTACACGATTTGTAATAATATGCTTTGAGTAATGCTAATGATGGTAATGAATTATATATTTAAAAATATAGTAGCAAAATATTTACTTAAATTGTTGATTCATAAACGCTGTCATATTAATGAAATTCTGTCATTTTTTCGGGGTAACCATAGCTTAGATAGATGGTAATAAAAGGAACTTTTTAGAATGAAAATTAAATGAGGATATAGGAGTTTCGTATTCTGATTGAACCAGTTGGTCAGGTGTGTTATTGCCTACAAGGTTTGTTCGAGTTGTCCAACTATTATTATATATATAGCTGCGACGATGCACCAAAACCCGAATAGGCGATGCGTCAGTTTCTGAACTTTGAGCAAAACTGAGTGCTATTAATACAAATCACATCGCAATGTATACTAAAACGGAATTATATTCATTTATATTGACATCGGAATTTCCCACAAGGAACACATTTGGGTCGCCTGTTTTTTTTTTCTTTTTACAAATGAAAAGTGTAAAATAATTAGCTTTTATAAAAATGAATAATTGCTTTGATTTTAATTATAAACTCAATAACTTTCTCCTAAATGTGGTGTGTGCTTTCTCCTAAATGTGAAATTAAAGATCTGAGTGTTATTCTTGATCGTTAACTTACTTTTAGACCTAAGATATTGATTTTATTAACATATATCTAAGGCGTTATCTATGCTTAGTTGTATTAAGCGGCACTCTTTATAATTTTATGATTCTCACTTTCAAAAGCTTCTTTAATTCATTAGTTCGCTGACATCTTAAGTATGCCGCACTAATATGGATGGCGTCTTATATTAAACATATTAGGTGCATTGAATCGGTACATAATTACGGGAATAGAAATCGGTACGGAAAAATATGGTTAGATTTTGTTTACACAAATTTACTTGGGAGTTAAATACTAAATATTAGTACTAAATATTAGTAATTTTAAATACTAAATATTAGTTAATAGTTATTCAAATTCTTGATTCTAGGTGTAATATTTCGTCCCTTATTTTCTCATATGATATTTTATCTGCAATAATGAATAGCCCTTTAGTTTTCAGTTTATATAATATTTATGCCTGAGTTCGCATATGTAAGAGCATATCGTTTTTTATATTTAAACTCAAATAGAACTAATTATAGTTTTTCGGAGCCTATAGCTAAAATCTCAGCACTTTTAATTTCTAACTATAAGTTAGTTGTAATTGTGAATCTGTTTATAAAGAAAATTTCCAAGTAGGTTCGAACAAATAAAAAATCAAAATTTTAATCAAAAAAGCTACTTGTTTTATAAATATTATAGAGCAATCGTAAACTTATTCAGTTAATATTTTAATATAAGCCCATTGAATACAAATTAGAAATTTTAAAATCCTAATAAAACCATTAAATTTATTAAATTATCATTCTTGTGTAAATCTAACTCTTACAGAAGAATTTCCTCTCTCACTTTTTGTGTTTTTAAAATTATTATTAAATTAAAATGAACAAGTAATGAATTTAATCTTTATGATGCTGTTTCCTGCTTGTTTATTAAGTACAAATATAAACAATAGCAAAAAACAGAAAAAAAAAAACTCCTTTCTTTATCCTGCTAATTTTCAATCTTTATTTTCTATATGTATACACTGTTGCTTTATTCCTTTTTCTTAATTCTCTTTTATATTTTATCTAAAACTGTGTTTATATACTCATGTCAAAAATTAAAAGCGAATTCATAAAATATTCCATTCTGTACTTAAGATTAAAACTGTGATTTTTTAACACTTTATTAAATTAAAATGAGAAGAAAAACAAATAAAATAAGAGTAAAGCGTTTTATTAAGCGTTTGTTTTTTTTTATTATACAACTTGATTATTACTCCATAAATGATAATATTATTGAATGAAATGTTAACTCATAACAATTTTTTTTTGAGAATAAAGCATACTCGTATATCGGCGGATATATACACAACATTATAACCATTTAATGCGCGTATATACTATGAGAATAAAATAGAAGAATCACTCACAAGAATTCGAATATTTGAAATAAAAAGATTGAATGAGAAAGAAGAAGAGGAAGAAGAAGAGTAGGTGGAGAAGAAGGAAGAAGAGGAGGGGTAGAAAGAATGGGAAGGTGAAGGAGTTGGGATTATGGTTGTTTCTTTATCATGCTGTGCATTTATTCTTTTAATATAGCTTAGTTTTTTGTTTTTTTTTGTATGATTCTCCCACTCTTATCGCACTTAGTGTTCTTTACTGCTTAAGTGATGTGTTGCTCGTTTTCTCTTTCCTTTTTGCTTATTTTATTGAAAAAAAATTTTTTTTTCCTCATTGTGTATTTTGTTTTTCTCTTATTTTTTGTCGAATGTACTTAGATATTTTATTATTTTGCTTTTATTATTTTTTTATTGACTTTCTTCTATGGTTTTATGT